CTCATCCGCACGTTCCTGACGATGGAATCCCCGAGGACCAGCGTGGAGAGAGGAGGTGCCACCGGGGGCTACTGGCCATCTGAGACGCCCGCGCCGTGGCACCGGGGGTGTTCAGATGGAGATGCGCCAGCCGGACCGCGTGAGTGACTCCCAGGTAGTCGCGCCGTGGGTCCTCTTCTCCAAGGAGCCGGGGTAAAGCACAGCTCTCAGTGGTGAGTTTGCACCACAGCGTCGGGCTGCCCGCCGCAGATCTGGGGGCGTAGTGGTGGAGATGGCGCAGACCTCAGCGACACAGCGGGATGGCGAGGGCTAGCGGCCAGAGGAGGAAAGTCCACAGGATCCATAACATTGAATTTATTCTCCAGTACTACTGCGCCAGAGGGGTGAGGGTGCGAGAGACGGATCCTCCTGGCCTCTCTGCAGCCACTGTGCATCTCAACCATGGTCCATGGCACTGGTTGGAGTGGAGTGGAGCTGACCAGAGCCTTAGGTCTGGCCCCTAGTTGAAACCAGCAGTTCTCGTCCGTGGCAGAAACACCAGTGACGCAAGTTGAGAGCCTGGGTTGACTGTTGGCAGGATCTTGGGACACAGCAGCTGGGTGGTGCACTGTGTCGGCTAGCTCAGCACTAGTAGCGGTGGTTTGAGCTTTGCCAAGGAGGATCGTGTCAAGTTCGCGTTCAGCCCCCTGGATTTGGTATAGCGTGGATATCCTTTGTTCCAGCTCGCTCACTTTTTGGCTCAGGTTGATGCAGCTTTCACAACTGGATGTTGAGGTAAGTGGTGCCATTCCGAAATCTCGTACCGGCGACAGCCGGTACCTGGAATATATTTGACATAAGATTAAAAAAACAACACAAAATCCGACCAGGATGTGAACTTAAAACTCCAAGGTCAGTCACCAAGTTTTGGTAGTGCTGAAATGAACATGATGTGAAATTTGTCTTGACACTAAATTGCAGACATAAGGCTGATCTTATACTGATCCACAATGAGGATCTTCATGGTAAAGTCTGTTTCCTTCTTCTCTGATTTCATCCATTGACTGTAGCAGAACAATGTTCACATTTCAAACACTAAACTACACTCAACTACACTCAACTACACTCAACGTATGGCCCACTGCTGGGCCTGGCCTGCCGACCTTTCCTATTTCAGTGAGAGAGGGAACCCTGATTAATAATAATAATAATAATAATAATAAATTTTATTTATGAGCGCCTTTCAAGTCACCCAAGGACACTTTACAATAGGATAAAACACTTAGTAAAACAATGGCAGAATAAGAACAATAAAATAAAAGCACAAGATAAAATTAACAAACAGTGGATTCACAGTGAATATGCAGATTTGAACAGATGAGTTTTGAGTTGGGAT